GCCCTGTGATGGACTGGTGTCCTGTCCAGGGTGTGTGTGTGTGCCCTGTGATGGACTGGTGTCCTGTCCAGGGTGTGTGCCCTGTGATGGACTGGTGTCCTGTCCAGGGTGTGTGCCCTGTGATGGACTGGTGTCCTGTCCAGGGTGTGTGAATGTGTGTGTGTGCCCTGTGATGGACTGGTGTCCTGTCCAGGGTGTACCCTGACTTGTCCTCACTGTTTGCCAGAATGGGCTCTGGCTCCTCGTGACCCTGAACAGGATGAAGCTGCTGGAAGATGGAAGTACTGTACCCACCCAGCTGTATTGTACTGGTGTGAAAGGTATTCCGGGGTGCTGCATTGGACTGGACTACAGTGAAACGTATTATGTAGCCCTGCACTTCAATATTCTTTGCTGTGGGGTTTATTCAGTACTGTAGAGCTTTGTGTTCTACTGCATTGTTGTAAAGAGCTCTATTCAGTATTTCTGTACTGACCTTTACTGTGTCACCCCTTTGGTGTCATGATAGTGAATTGTATTGAGCAACACTTACTCCTCACAGTGCTGTATTGTGTTGTATTACAAGGCGCCGTGGGCACGTCTCTGGGGCCAGCCCCAGCACGTCTGCGGCGCTGGTTGTGTGTGTGTGCACAGCAGAAGAGTGCTTTCTGGGCGCAGCTGGAGAGCTTTGCTCTTCACATAGAGAAACACAGTTCTGCTCCCCCTGAGGCTGAGACCCCTGTGTTCGCCTGGAGCCTCTGCTTCCAGCTCCTGTTCTCTTCCTCTCCGCGCGGATCCGAGACACCCTCGGGAACACTGTTCGGCTTCAGGCGCTTGGGGGCACCAGGTCCAGGGAACCCCAGGGCAGCCCTAGTGGACAGGGGTGTCCCCAGGCAGGAAATGGGCACCCCAGTACTCCAGGCTGGAGCTGTGTTAGTGTAGCGCCTGAGGACGGCAGAGCAGAGCCGGAGAATCGCTGTCCTCTCTCTCAGCTCCGACTGCTCCTCGCTCGCTCTCAAACGCTCAGACGCCACTCCCTGCCTCGCTCCCCGCCGCAGTGCTGCTGGAGTCAGTCTCGCTGCATCCGACTCGTAAATCCCGGCTTTTGGAGGTGTTTCAGATTCACAGTTTTTGTGTAAACAATTAATAGTTTGGTGGAGCCAAATTTCCAGGGTGGGACAGAGATGGAAAAGCTGAGTGAAAACTCTGAGAGCCGCCTGTGTCAGGCCTCCATCCTGCCTGTGTACCGACAGCCTTCTCTTCAGGATTAGCATGAAGAGGGCAGAACTGGAATCAAGGGGGGTTGTGTTTAAACGAATCCAGGTCTGCAGTTCTTTGTTAGGACCTCAGTCACAAACCTGCCTACGGATGTCAAGAAGGACAGTGCTGCTCAGGGTCAGATCCTGTCCGCGCAGACAGGTCAGGGGGGCTGAATACCTTCACTTTTGGACAGAGGAGATTAGGAAGGGGCTCCTGTCTATTGTTTACAATCCGTTTCCCCTGGTGAGGGCTGGGCAGGCCCGGGCCCGTCCCGGATCTCGTCAAGAGGCACCATAGAAGAGCTTTAAATCCTGTAAAAGCCAGCCCAGAGGACTGACTGGGACAGCAGTGAAGCTCAAGTGGAAACAGAAGGGAGAAAAACAGGAGGCACTCCTTTACACTAAGGGTTGTGGGGGTGTGGAACAGCCAGGTTTTTGAGGGCCACACTGTTGACAGGCTACTAGTCTGCTGTTGTGAACTTCTTGCCTCACAGCCTCTGTGTCTCTGCCTCCCGTCTCTCTCTCAGTTGCGGGATGCTGCGAGGGAGACCTCCTGTTCCTGGTGGACTCGTCCGGCAGCGTCTCCTCCTACGAGTATTCCCGGATCCTGAGCTTCCTGGGCGACCTGCTGGCCCCGTTCTCGCTCGGCCCGGACGAGGTGCAGGTGGGCGTGCTGCAGGTGGGCACCAGCCCGCGGCTGGAGTTCGGCTTCGGGCGGCACCAGAGCCAGGCCGCCCTGCAGGAGGCGCTGCGGGCGCTGCAGCAGCTGCAGGGCGACACCAACACGGGCGCGGCCCTGGCGCTGGCCCGCGAGCGTCTGCTGCAGCCCGGGCCCGGCGGCGCGCGGCCGGGCGTGCCCAAGGTGCTGGTGTGGCTGACAGACGGCGTGATGACCGGCTCCGTGCTGCAGCCCATGGCCGGGCTGCGGCAGGCGGGCGTGGCCGTGCTGGCCGTCTCCACGGGCTACGGGAACCTGCAGGAGCTGCAGAAGGTCGTGACCCCACCCGAGGAGCGGCACCTGCACTTCGTGGACATCGACTCCCTGGGGATCATCACCGCCGACCTCCGGGACGCCATCGTCGGTGAGCCCACCGGACTGGACTGGACTGAGGAAGCGAGAGGGGAGAGGGGGGAAGTCTCTGAAACCAGAGAAGGGACTATTAATAAAGGGAATCTCCCCCACCGGCCCCACAGTGTGAGACTGGGGTATTTATAGAGGGAGTCTCTCACTGTGGGATAGAGTATCACACTGACTCACGCGCCGAGACGCTGAGACACAGGACGGACTGAGACACTGAGACAGCCTCTAGGTGCTTGCAGAGACCAAGCACAGAAACCTAATTCACGCAGGAAAATGGAAGCACAGTCCTGCCCTCTTGTGTACCCAGTGTGTCATTGCAGCTGGCCCGAGTGACCATAGACTGCATTTCAAGGTGCCGTGTATCCAAACTCCAATCCACAATACTTTATTCAGCCCTGGGTGCGATCGAGCAGCAGGCCTGCAACGCGTCACAAGTAAAACTAGATTACTAATGAAAAAATATAATCATGAATAAAAACAGCAAATGGGTCAAGAAAGTGATAGGAAGTAACAATGTGTAGTATATCAGAAGGCACGCTTGTACAGTACAGAGGACTGTCCAACTGACCTCACACTGATGAAACGTCTTCACTTTCACTGTCTGCAAGCCTGCTGGTCGCCTAGACCCTCTGAGCATCCTGTGAGCACCCTGTGAGCACCCTCTGAGCACCCTGTGTGCACCCTGTGAGCTCTCTTTGTGCACCCTCTGAGCACCCTGTGTGCACCCTGTGAGCACCCTGTGTGCACCCTGTGAGCACCCTGTGAGCACCCTGTGAGCTCTCTTTGTGCACCCTGTGAGCACCCTCTGAGCACCCTGTGAGCTCTCTTTGTGCACCCTGTGTGCTCTCTTTGTGCACCCTGTGAGCACCCTCTGAGCACCCTGTGAGCTCTCTTTGTGCACCCTGTGTGCACCCTGTGAGCTCTCTTTGTGCACCCTGTGAGCACCCTGTGAGCTCTCTGTGAGCACCCTGTGAGCGCAGCGGGTGCCTCCAGCTCTCTCCCTGCCTCAGTCCCCTCATGCCTCCTCTCCCCCCTCAGAGCTCATCCGTGTGCAGCGGTTCCGGGTCCGAGAGGTGACGTCGCGGGGGGCCCTGCTGCAGTGGCACCCAGTGCTGACCAAGGACACTGGACATTACGAGATCGAGGTGGGGCCAGTGGGGGGGCCGCCGGATCGGAACCGGAGGCTGACCCACTCGGGAGACACCACGTCCGCTCACCTGACCGGACTGCAGCCCGACACCCGGTACACTGCCACCCTGACGCCCGAGAGCAACGAGCTGTTCTACCGGCCCCGGAGTGTGACCTTCACTACGCTGCCTGGTGAGA